AAGGTCGTCGAAGGCACCCTCTGTCGATCTTCTCTCTTACCTGCACGGACTGGATTCTGGAGTTGAAGTTGTAACCACTCCCGCCTGCTCCTGACCGTCTGACCAGGCAGGGACATCATTTGACAGGCATTTTGAGCCATGACGTGGTGTGGATCCAAACGACGGATTTATGTCTGACTTGAAACAAGCGTTTTGCACTGCAGTCACCTTCTTCCGACTCCTCTTCGGCATCCCAAGTGATGTACTGAGCATTGCATGGTTCATTACACGGCATGCGGAGGAAGAGCCCGAAGCAGGTGAACAGGGGTACTTTCGGCAATTGCCTTGTCAATTTTTCGAAGCCTCTGCCTCAGCTGCGTCTCAGAATTAGCGGCAGTTTCTTGCTGCTTATTCTGACACTCAGCTGAGGCAGAAGTTTGGAAACTGAACAATGCTGCTACTGATCAGGAGGCATCAATATTCGAGGGCTTGATGAGACACGAAAAGGACATCCTGGAGTCATTGTTGTGATGGCACTGCATCTGTTGGACAAGCTCAAGTACATTGTCTCCTGTTTTGTTTGACCATCGTCGGACCAGCACCGGTGTTCAGCACCATCGTCAAACAGCCGCAAATACTCAGCGGCAGCAGGGAACCTGTACCCGGCAGCCTGGTACAGGTTCCCTGCTGCCGCTGAGTATTTGCGGCGGTCTGACGATGGTGGTGAATACCGGTGCTGGTCCGAAGGTGCTGCTGACTGACCGTCATTCCCTTTCAGTTTCGGTGTAAGACTCAGCAGCATCGTCGGACCAGCACAAGTGTTCAGCACCATAGTCAGACCGCCGCAAATACTCTGCAGCAGCAGGGAACCTGTACCAGGCTGCCAGGTACAGGTTCCCTGCTGCTGCAGAGTATTTGCGGCGGTCTGACTATGGTGGTGAATACCGGTGCTGGTCCAAAAGATGTTCGACCATCATTCCCTTTTGACCAGTGCAAGGACTGCCGAGTCTGACGTTGGTATCGATTCCAGCAACGTTTTTTTGCCTTAATGGTAATTCCATTTGCGATTGAAGGCTCGAATGTTGATACACAACTGAAGCAAGGGTTGAACAATACAGATTGTCAGTCAGTTTCTCTTTCTGTTCAGATCGAAGCAACGGTAAGTTTCACAGAGTGTTTGTCTGATGCTTCATAGAGAATCTTGCGTCCCAGGATCTTTCAGCTTCACTCAGTTGATGTGTTTTCAAGATTCCTGTGCGACAGTCAATGCATTGTCTGTACTTGCTTATGTATGGCCAAGAAATCCACAATCCAATCCATAGACAACTGTGGGCAACTTCACAAATGCATTGACTGTGAAGACAGGGAGCTGTCTGACTGAGTTGCCTGCTGTAGAAAAAGGATCAGTCCAGATGTCAGCATGGGATGTACAAATCCTATTGATTTGTTTTGGAACTTGGCCGGTGAAGAATTCAATCATAGTGTTGTTTGCTTTCTTTGCAAGTGTTGCCATGATTGAGTGATGGACGGATTGTCTGACCGGTCACCCCATTTTGCAGTGATCCTGGCTGACTGAGTTTGTAATTCAATTTAAATGATCACAACCTTTGGATAAGTCTTAATCTTCTTACTGAAGCATCGTATTACATATTTTTTTCATTGAATGAATTGAATGACAGACAAGAGACAGGATTAATGAGACATTGGCAACTCAAGGTATAGTCAGCATAGACAGCAACCGACCAGCTAACATCAAGCTCAGGTGCAGTTCAAAGGCCGGCATATCTTCCAGTGCGGCAGGGTGCTCTTGACTGAGAATCACAAGGCTTGGATGCATCAGACATCGCCAGAACGCATTGCGGCTTACAATGCTTACAGAGCCACGGATGGCAGGGTTCCTTAGATTTCGGTTAGGCAATCTTTTAATTTTTTGATATTTAAATTTGCTCAAGTCTGAAGTCAGTTCAATAGCTGGCAGGCTGTCAGCAGGTTGACCGTTGTGCAAATGTGTTCAACATTGATTATTTGAATCGGCCTAATAACTATTTTTCAAGTTATTATTATTAAAATTATTATGTTTAAAATTTAAATAATAATAAATAACTTCCCAGTTCCCATCATTCATGAATGGTATCCTAGTTCACCTAGCCTAAGTGAACCTCTTGTCTGACTTCGCAAAGCTGCTGTCAGACTTGTCAATGTTGCCGCAGCTTGGTTTCCCCAAGCTCTCTGGCTTTGCCAGCTTGCCGTCTGACATGTGCGATGAGGCTAATTGCCTGGCGTCTGACTTTGCTGGACTCGTCACCTCCCACATGATCAACACGGCGTGGGACTGGAGTTTTTGGTCTGACCAATGGCCACACAGTTTTGCTGGCCTGCTGACTGACTCAGGGTCTGAAAGGCAAAGACTTCTCAGCGAGATCCGTGAAGACTGGTCGCGAATCATGACTTTGGAAAAGAAGATCTTCAGTGAAGTCCCTTCAAATGCAAGTCATGCTGAGCGCCTTTTGCGTCTGACTGGTAAGAGCCTGCCTGACTTGGTGCCTCGTGTGAATTTCACTTGAAAGAAAAAACTTATTTTATTTTAAATTGACCCTGGACTGATAAGCTGGCTTTTGTTTCAGATCCTGGAATTATTATCCCTGGTGAGGTATTAATTGGAGACATTGTCTAACATATTATATAATATAATAATAATAATAATAAATAATTTTAAATAATATAATTTATATATTATATAATCATAATTATTTATATATTATATAATATTTATTATATATATAAATAAATAATAATTATTTTTATATGTAGCAGACTGACTCTTCCTCACTCAGTCACGTCAGACGTCTGCTGGTGTCTGGTTTCTCTTTTGCAAATGTAAGGTCGAATTTTATACCGCTCTGGAGGGTGCTCGAAACCAATTTGCGAGGGAGGTGATGGCGGGTCTGACTTGGTCAAATTGGAATCTTGATGATGAGTTGGTTCAGAAGCTCCTGTCTGACGCGTTTTCGGTTCCTTGCACGACCAAGCCGTATGCCGAGGACGTATTTCGAGATATGCGCAGCGCTTTTCTCGACGTCCCGAACTCAAGAGTGAGTCCATGGTCGCGCCAGCATGC